ATCTACTAATTATTAAGGAGCAAATTTTTATGCTTTGAAGAATTTTTTTTAATTAAAAAATTTAATAACCACATGATTAGAAGAAGCATTTCATTACAGGTTTTACATATTCAGTAACACACTCCAGAGCAAGGATACATCTCTTTCAAAAGTGGCTGTAAATTTTTAGGTTCACAGTTGAATTAAATTACACTTATTTTATATGTGCATTTGCCTCTGTGGGGGTGGGAGGGCAAATGTGTGTGGGCACAGATGTGAAATTCAGGAGTTTGGTTCTCTCCTTTCATCATCCTAGGGATGTGAATCCTAGAGTTAGAACTCAGGTTGTCAGGCTTGACAGCAAGTATACACACACACACACACACACACACACACACACACACACACTTAAACGATGGATATAAAGATGCCAGATGAGAGACCAAGGATGTAGTTTGATGGTAGTGTCCCTACCCAGCATTTTCAAGGTCCTGGTGTCAATTCCAAGAACAGAAATAAAAAACAAAACAAATAACAAAAACGTGACAAATAAGTCTAGTTAGCTGGCAAATTGCTAGATCTGTTACACAAAGACTAACTAGACAGGTATTTGGTGTCACAGACTACTGCTAAAGAAAGGCAAATGTTGCTTGCTTCGGATTAAACACAGAAATTACCACTTTTCAATGATCAGTAAATCTTTTTGTATTTTTTCAGGAAACATTTGAAACTGAGCTAAAGTATAAAATGACAGTTAATGGAGAGATTGCAGTGCTTTATTTGAAAAAAAATGAGTAAGTATGTTTCTGTCTGGTGTGGTACTCACCAGCAAGTTAAAGTGTGAAGGAGTGATAACTGGGGATGTTATTCAGTATGACTCCTGCAAAACTTGACCTATCAGTCTTTGATCCCAACTGACCCAAGGACTCAATGAATATCTTTCTCTCTTAAAGTAGTAGAAACACATTAGGTAAAACCACAGTTTACTAGCGTTTTGATACTATATGAATAAAACGCTACTAATGAGGCATTAACAGACAGATTTGATTTATTTTACCCAACAGTGGCTGGAATGGTTCCAAAATACTTTGCTATAGTTTTTGTTTGTTTATATGTGTGAGACAGAGTCTCACAACGTTGAGCACTGGAAAGGACGAGGGGAAAGTGCTCTATCAGTCGTTTCTATCAACTGACCTCGGTTCTGCTGCTGTTTAAGTCTCTCTGGAGCTAGCCCACAGAGTCCCAGCATAAGGATGGCTGGGAATGTCCCCGCCCCTCAGCCTTGCCATTGGGAGCAGTGCTCCTCTGCTTGGACTTGGCTTGAGAGTCAGAAGAAGCTGAGGCCTCTGACTGGTCTGTATGCCCAGGGACAGCTCTTGCCTTATGTGCTAGACTTCATGAATGGTATGTGTAACCATGCTTTTTCTCTTTCTTTCTCCAGCAATCTCCTTGCATCAGACTACTCAGAAACATATTATAATTCCACCGGAAAGCAAATCACCACAAGCCCTCAAATCATGGTATAACAGCCCCCTGGACCCCTTGGCAATGAATGGGGTGTGCCCTGCTTACCTAAATGAAGTGTCCTTGCCAAGCAACTTTTTACAGCCTTGGTGTTTTGCTTGTTTACCAGTCGAAGTAACTGAGCTTCTAGCATTAATACATTTTACTAAGAATGAAAAAGGAGAGCCTCAGCTTTCACTGGAGGCAGGTTGAAGGAGCATGGGTTTTGCTCAGTACCTTTTCTATAGAGGGCCTCTATGGTGTGGAGAGTTAAGCATGTCTGGTATTTTTAGTTAATTACTATCACCTTCCTTAATTATTTGTTCTATGACACCAAAGACTACTCATTCAATGGCAACTGTAGAATTCTATGTTTCCTTAAGCAAATCTACTCTTGATCTCACCCCTGATTTCCTCTTTACTCCCACTGAGCTCCTAACAGTGTGCCTTGGGGCTGTTTCCTCTGAGACCCCTTCTCTCTTCAAACCTTCAAAGCTTCTGGGTTACACAGGCCAATGTCACATCTGACCCATCCACAGGGAGAAATGTTAGCTTTGGCATTTTTCTCCAAGTAAAAGCATGGCATATTACCCAGGTTCATTTTAATCTAGTTTAACTCTTTGGACAAACAATCTGAATAACCCATAGGCTAAAAAAAAAAAAAAAGGAAAAATCTAGTAGGTGGTAGTTGGAAAAAAAATGTAATGAGAAATAAATAATTAAAGGGAAGAATAAAGGCTGGATGTTTGGAAACTCAAGTTTTAAATTTATATAAATGAATACATTTAAAAAATAGCATCCAACTATTTTGTACCGTTTCAGCAACACTAGTGTTATAATACTATATCAAGTACAGAATATGCTATATATTATGTATAATATACTATATAGTAGCATGGCACACCACATGCATGGTATATAAAATATAATCATTTTGAAGTCATTAACTAACATTAAATAATTTAACACATAATAACATATTTAATTATTTGTTTATTTTTTTGGTCTTTTTGAGACAGGGTCTCCCTGTAGCCCCAACTGTCCTGGATTCACCATGGAGACCAGGCTGGCCTCGAACTCACAGATATCTGCCTGCCTCTGCCACCCGAGTGCTGGGATTAAAGGTGTGCGCCACCACGCCCGGCTTAATTATATTTTTTAAAACCTCTGTAAGTTAAGTTGTCCAGTGGAGAAAAGTTTGAAAGCATTGTAGATTCCTTTTCAATATTTCAAATTCAAATTGATCAAGGAGTAGAAAGGTTATGAACTCTTTCCTTCACAAAATCTCTTTCCTGTTTTCTTTAGGATGACTGTTACTACCAAGGACACATCATGAATGAGAAAGTTTCTGATGCAAGCATCAGCACGTGTCAAGGTCTACGGTGAGACTTCAGGAATGTTCGCCTGTCCCTCTGATTATGTGTGCATGTTCCATAAATCTAAAGACCCTATGATAGCTATGCATGAATTCTTAGGGCTATAAAATTATGAAATTTGAATCAAGCACCATCTTTTTTTAGTATGTTAACTCACACATATGAATTGCCTTCAGGTTTGTTTGTATTTCTTGTTTCTAAAATGAAAATCTTTGAGACTCAGATTTTTAGTCAGAACTTTTGGGGGTAGGAGCTCCTCTCTGACTTCTTGCCTCACTTTGATTTCTCTATGGCATGCGTTTGCTAACAATTGTTCCATAAGTCTGGTATTTCTCCTGTGTTCTCTATCTCAGCTGATGGAATAAAAATGTAATGACTTTCCCATGAGAGAATCCTGAATTCCCCAAGGACTTCTTTCCTCACTCTCCACCCCTACTTTTTATTTCCTTATCAAGCCCCAGTGACTTTTATCTTCCAATTATTTCCTGAAATGTGTTCACTACATTTTGTGTCTACTGAAACATAGTATTCCAACTCCCATGCTCCTTTAAGTAAACCATTTGAAGCAAATATTTACACTTGATATCTTCCAATTCCACATACTATATGCTCTTCACACTGATTAGTTGTTGAGATTACAAACGTGTGTTAGATGAATAATTACATGTGCATTCTTTTATTAATTCATACACGTCAACTTTCCTCATTTGAATTTAAGGTCCGTGAAGGAAGAAACCATAGCTCTCTTCTACTTTATCCTTTTAGTCTAATGCTTAATTAATAATGGGTCTCACTATATGTGGTACAGATTAACTTTAACATGATGGAACTCCAGATAAATTAAGAAATAAACATACAATGTGAATAACTCATTCGTTGTTTAAAAAAGCTAGTAAGCTTCTGAACAAAGTCTAACAATCTACCATTAACGAAGAAGTACAGGAGTTGGGAGCTCAGTGGGTCTTAGCTCAGGAGTGCAGTAAAGGAGGCTGAGAAGTTGGTGTCACTCGTCATGTGCTTTCCCTTTCACTCCTTCCCAGCCTCTTGTTAGGTATTAAGTTTCCATTTTACAGAGTGAGAAATTGAAGCTGCATTATTTTTAACAACATGTCCATGGATTCATAGCTAATCAGACTGACTTAGGACTTTAACCCTTTATTTATTATTTTTATTTTATGTGTATGAGTGTATTGCTTGCATGTATGTAAGTGTACCTGTGTTGTGCAGTGCCTAAGGAGGTCAGAAGAGGGCATCAAATCCCATGGAACTGGAGTTAAGGATGGTTGTTAGCTGCCATGTGAATGATGAAAATTGGACCCAGATTCCTTGCGATAGCAGCCAGTGCTCTTAACTGCTGAGCATCTCTCCAGCCCTGATTTTAACCCTTTATAAGACTCCAAAGTGTCTGTCTTCTTCAGGGGACATATAAAGTAGAAGCAGCACAAACATAGGGCTGAGTCAGGAAATACTTTGAGTGTCAGAACAGAGATGGTGGTTGGTTGTTCTGTCACCATGAGAGAAAACTGCTTTGGCATTGGCCAGGAAGTTCATGAGGCCTGTGATGGTTTGAATGAAAATGTCCCCCATAGGCTCCAAGTATTTGGACATTTTGTCCCCACATGGTGGTGCTGTTTTGGGAGGTTTTAGAAGGTGTGGCTATCCTGGAGGAAGCATGTCACTGGGGGTGGGCCTAGAGAATTCTTAAGCCTTGCCAGATCTCCAGTCGAGCTCTTGCTTCCTGTGCCTGCATGATGATGTGAGAGCTTAGCTTCTGCTGTGCCTGCTCCAATCACCTTCAGCCACCGCTCCCTGCCATGATGGACTGTAATTCCTCTGGAACCGTAAGCTCAAATAAACTCTTCCTTCTATAAGTTGGTTGGGTCAGTGTTTCTACCACAGCAACAGAAAAGTGACTAATACAAGGCCCTTTTGATGTCTACATGTCTGTCCAACTCCAATGCAAGAGCATTTTGTTAAGAAGCCTCAATGCTCATGTCCCCAGGGGCTACTTCAGTCAAGGAAAGGAAAGGTACTTCATTGAGCCTCTGAGCACTGAAAATATGGATGAGCAGGAGCATGCACTCTTTAAGGATGACCCTGATGAAGACCTAACCAACAGCAGCTGTGGGGTGAACGATGCTGTCTGGATACAGAGGTTGCATCAGAATGTGGACCTGCCTACCGCCAGACTGATTGTATGTATAGCTTTATCTGTTATTGATACTTCTGTTGTGTATCCTACCCTGGGTGCTAATCATTTGTTTTCTTTGCATGTGTATGTATGTGTGATGGGCATGCATATATGTATGCATGTCCCCCTGTGTGCATAGAGAGGCCTGAGGTTGATGTGAGGTGTCTTCCTCAAGGGCTCCCCACCTTATACACTGAGGCTTCTTATATTATGAGGCTCCATCTCTCACTAAACCCAGAGCTTGCTATTCAGGTAATCTGGTTAGCTCCAGGCGTTCACTGTCTCGGCCTCCTTTCTTTTTAAAAACTTTTTCTTTATTATTTTTATTTTATATGTATGCATGTACTGCCTGCATGTAGGTAAGTGCACCCCTGTCGTGCAATGCCTGCGGAGGTCAGAAGAGGCTGTCGGATCCCCTGGGACTGGAGTTACAGACAGTTGTTAGCTGCCATGTGGGTGCTGGGATTCAAACCCGGGTCTTCTGCAAGAGTAGTCAGTGTTCTTAACTGCTGAGCAATCACTCTCCAGCTCCTCTGCCTCCTTTCTTGTGCTGGATTGCAATCAGGCTACCACCCCAACCCAGATTTTATGTAGGTGTTTCAGATCTGAACACTGGTAGTGGTCACACTTGTTCGTTTGGGAAGGGCTTTATCTGATGAGCCTTTTTGCCAGGCCTGGGTTCTAATCTTAACAATGTATTCGATTCACATTTTACAGCTGTTGCTGAGACTAATGCTTTATAAACAGGAATCCTAAATCATCGCTGTACATTGACAATTCACTTAATAATATCTGAACAAATTCTCATCACCAATAATCTGCAAGAGTTTAAAAGAAGCCTGAAAATGTATACATAATGGCTAGGAGAAGGCAACCCTCACAACAGTCTCTGTGCCCCACCACAGGGCCCAAAGGTGTAAAGACTTTCTTTTGTGGTGTGATATGACCGCCTTGAACAAATTTGTCTTCAGAGGGGTTCATTATCCTGGGAATGTAGCAGGCAGCAAAATACACAAAAGGATGGAGAGTATTCTTTCCTGTATGCAATTCTTTTGTCACTACAGAAGTAAAGGTGAGAGTTCAACTGTGCTTTAAACTGTGATGTCTGCATTAGAATGTTTCTGTTGCTATTATTTTCAATGCCTGATTATCTCTTCCGAGTGTTCTCAGAATCTGTAAGCACTGGGCAGACTTGTGAGTAAAATTCTGGGCTGATCTCTTTGCTGTGGACTTAAATTTCACCAGCATTATCTAGGAACCCAGAAGAACCAGTCTTGTCTACAAGTTGCTTTGAATGGCACGCTGGTTGTTTGGCACTGGCTTCTTGTCTTCTGTTTGATTCTTTGGGTGCCATGTAGAAATGGTCTTGCTTTTCTGACATGCCGTTGTGTTGGTTTTCTGAAACTCCTCTCTGTCACCCCTCTTCTGGTTGACCACTAAATAGAAGAGAGCTCCACAAACTGGATCTTCTTCTCTGCTTCATTTACAGATTCTTCCCAGGTAATCTCATCTTATCCCATGTCTTCTTTAAATATGAGTCAGTAGGGCTTGGAATGCTGCTCATTTAGCAAACTGCTTATCTAGCAAGCAAGAATCCCCAGGTTCTATCCCAAGGCATATGCCTGCAATCCTAGTACTTAGAAGTAGGTAGAAGCAGGAGGCTCATGAATCCAGGATCATTCTTGGCACATAGTGAGCTCAAATCCAGCGGGGGCTACATGAAACTCTAATTTTTTTAAAAAAATGGAGGAGTGAGAGAGATGGCTCAGTGGTTAAGAGCACTGGCTGGTCTTACAGAAGACCTGGGTTCAAATCCCAGTACCCACATGATGGCTAATAACCATCTGTAAATCCAATTCCAGGGTATTATTCTTCTGTCCTTTGAGGGCATTTCATGACCTGGGTGTACTTACATACATGCAGGCAATACACTCATTCACATAAAATAAAAATAACATACAAAATATAAGGAGTCAGACACTATTTATTGTTAGGTATACATCTTCATTCTTGTACTTTCCCCCGATTGACTGTCTAATATATCCTTTAAATATCTAACATTACAAAATTGACATGGTAAAAGAGAATACTTATTTTGAAACTACTCATTTTCAAACAGCTCCAAACACAATTTCTTTCCTGTTTTCCCATCTCAAGTGAATATTACCACCAACCGCCCATCATTTGTCTCAGTTCCTATCTAGGAGTTACCCTTGATTCTTCCTTTCCTGTGTCCGCACACGGTAGCCATTAGTTAGCAGGTGCCTCTTTATGTATTCCACTTCTTCATTGAGCTCTGTTTCCTGACTGCCCCAGGTAGCAGCATCCCACGATGACCACAGCCACAGCCTGGACTGAATCTCCCTGCGTGTACTCCCACCTTGGCAGAATCTACCCCCCATGCACTAGGCTGGGCGATGTTTCATTCTAAGTTGTATTATGCTGAAGCCCTTGGATGGCTTTCATTCTTCACGTTCAGCATAAAATCCAAGCCTCTACTGTGAGTGATAGAAGGCCATCTGACTCTATCCAGCCTTCCGCTAATTTCTGTACTCTGAAAAACCCAATCTTTTCCTATGTTTTAAACTTATCAATGTCAATTAACCTTAGTTGTTTAGGTTTTTTTTTCTTTTTTTTACATTTTTCTGGAACTGTCTTCCAGTTTTGTTTCACTTCTATGAAGATGTCTTATAGTTCAGGTTTTTAAAGAAGCTTTCTCTAACTTTATTCTGAAATCACTACCTATTCACCCTGGCTCAATCACTGATTGAATTCACCCCACAACACCTAATACATGTATTTATTTGTGAGTTCCTAAGCTGATAGACCAAGAAGCTTATCTATCTCAGTCCTCAGAGTGCTGCGAGTGCACAGAAAGTACTAGTAAATATTTTGTTCCTATGGAAATGGGAGGTAAGTATTTACCTCAGTAGATAAACATCAAAAAGTCTACTTTCAGCAGGTTATTTTTGAGACTAGAAACATAATGACCCATTTAAAGACCAGCATTTCTAGAACTGTAACGCAAATAAACTTTGATGGCTTATGCTTTATTACGAATCCTGTACCTGATAATTTCAGTGAAATAATCCATTATGAAAAGCTCTGGCTTCTTTTTCTTAGAGGTACGGAGTATAAAACGGGGGAATCTGGAGCATAGGGAAGAGTGAATGCGGCAGCAGCTCTGAGCCTTGCACAGTCAGCAAGGGAGAAAAACAAGGAAGAAAAAGAGTACTTTAAAAATACTAGAAATGGTTGAAGTCAGAGTTTCTTTATTTCATGGTAGGATGATGGGGAAAATCTACTGAAAATACTGTTTCTAGCTCCCTTACTAAGTAGCTGTAAAATCATTTACTTGATAAAATGAAGGGATTGTACTAGAACATTATTAACGTCTTGTCTTGCTCTGACATTCTGAGCCCTGTCTGTACATACTCATGGCTGTGGTGGTAGTGTTAAAATGGTAATGTTGTCTGTCTTTGTTCTCAGACATCACCCAGCTGCTTACAAAAGAAAGATTGACAGAGAAGAACGTTGTCTTAGTAATTGTCCTCCTTATATTTCAGAAGTTGAATGACGAGAAGGCTCAGGGAGCTAAGACGTACATAGAATATTATGTGGTCCTGGATAATGGTGAGGTAATTACATCAGATAAATGTATCTTTTAAAATTCTCCTGCTCATAAGAACGTATTATGTGAAGTAGAAATGTCTAGATCAGTTTAGAAACATCAAGAATTTGAGCTATAATGACAAATTATTACAAACCTGTGATATTTGTTATTTATAATCAAGCTAATATGATCTCCTAGGTCATAGACAGGCTATACTTAGATTGAATTGTTAGCCCCATGCTTCTTTCTTATTGTCTTTAGAGCGCCAAACATAGCCTTCAATTAAATTATTTTGTCAAGTTGTCTTTCATTAGATATTTATAAATTAGGATTTGTGCTCTGCAGGAAGAAGCAATAAATGTAAAAATCTAGCATGTGGGGTCTTTGGAGAAAGGCAAATCTTTGGTGATAGTTATCAGTTAACTCATTTTCTAGGAACACATTTCCATATAATGAGTTTCTAAATAATTAGGCCGTGTGTTTAATATTAAAAAGAATACTCCTGGGGGCTGGAGAGATGGGTCAGTCGTTAAGAGCACTGGGAGCTCTTGCAGAGAACCTGGGTTCAGTTCCCAGAACCCACATGGAAGCTAACAACTTTCCATAACTCCAGTTCCAGGGGATAGGATCCGATGCCTTCTTCTGACTTCCATAGGAATTGTCCTACAAGAGTACACTTATATACATAGAGGCAATACACTCATACACATAAAGTAAAAATAAATAAAACATTTAAAAAGAAAAAGAAAACCTCTGAGTCACAAAAATATGGAAAAATTAGTTCAGGTCCCTCTTAGTGTATTGAATTCATCTATTATTCATATATTTTTAAAAACTAGCAAGTTGTTTTTTGCACCGATTCCACATAGTTTAGGAAATCATGAAGCTTAAAGATATGCTTGGAATAATTTGTTTGTTTGAGACAGAACCTTGTTACTTAGCCCAGGCTGCCCTTGGTTCATGGTTCTCCTGCTTCAGCCTTTTGACTGCTAGGGTTATAAGCATGGAACCAGCCTTGGCAAAAATTCCTAAGAGCTTTACATTGACCTCCATTTCAGTGGAGAAAACACAATGTGGATTACCAAAGTGCTTTAATTTAGGTAGATAAAGAGGTCAATTTGGTTTTAGGTTTTAAGAGTCAGCATTAGTAACTGCTTCTTAATTATAATCATTGATAAGTAAAATAAATTAGGTTGTTTCTCTTTTCTTCCAATTGTATTAATCTTATCAACATCTATTTCTGCTTTTTTGTTTTGTAGTTTAAGAAGTATGATGAAAATCTAGTTGAAATAAGAAAGAGAGTACTTGAGATGGCCAATTACGTCAACATGGTATGATACCTTTATTAAAATATAATTTTAAGCATTTTTCTAGGACACGCCATTGTGTTTTCCTATGTGTGAATGTATATGAATCCAGAGAGAGAGAGAGAGAGAGAGAGAGAGAGAGAGAGAGAGAGAGAGGTTATGTCCTCTGAGGCTGAGGCTTTTGGGGATTCCTAAGAAATGACCATGACTTTTGTTACTTTGCTACCGTTTACTACACTGCTCTTAGGACCATAAAGATATCATAGAAAACTTTACTTGGAAGACTTTGTTTCCCAAAATCCACTTCAGAAAACATTGAAAATCAAATCTCAATAGAAAGGTAATCCAGAAAACAAGAAACAAAATATGTCCATCATCTCTGGCACAGTATCATCTTTCATATCTACATAACCTCATTTAATCTTCAGAACAACTCTTAAAGATATACTTTTAAAGCCTAATATTCAGAGAAGTACTATATCCAGAGATGCACAGCAATGCAGGAGATGCAAAAGAAAATAACAAACTTGAAATTTGAGTAGAGATCTGTCAGATTGGAAGCTCAGTTCAGTTATACAATTGTTGAATATATTCTAGACATAAGAGTATTATCTAATTTCCAAAACACTAAAGTGATTGTATAGCTCTTTTTAACTAAATATTGTTAGTTTTTAAAATTATTGAACATATCAACAATATATCTAGCTTGAAATAAATCAGTCTCTTCATAGTGCCTTCCAAATAGTCTAGATAGAAAGGAAATGAGTGTGGGTAAATTAGCTTAGCAACCTACGTTATAGGTCATCTTTCCACCCCAAGAACTAGTTATAGTGGGCACCTTCTTCATACCAGGAGTGTTTCTGTTATAGAAGTAACATAGAGAACAATATGGACAATCCCTCCTTTCCTCTATCTTACATTTTTGTCAGGAAGACAGAGATAAATGGTATGTTGGATGGTGATAGCACCATACAGAAAACTAAAAGAAAGTGGCAGCAAAGAGACGGCATCACGATGACAGGGTGAATGAGAAAGGCCTTATGAGTGGAGAGCTGAATGAGGGAAGAGATACTTTTGACCTCTAAGAGAATATGCAAGGCCTCAAGGTAGAGCCCAGGCTGTCAGGTGTGAAGAGGGGACCAAAATGCTGTCTGACATAGGATGAGCAGGCCCTGAGCAGCAGGAGCCTTGGTAAGCAATCTGCATTGCTCATCACCAGTGAGGAAAGCATACAAAATCCAGAGCTGAGGCATGATGCATTGCTCTCTCTCTCTCTCTCTGTGTGTGTGTGTGTGTGTACCTCAAGGTAGAGCCCAGGCTGTCAGGTGTGAAGAGGGGACCAAAATGCTATCTGACATAGGATGAACAGGCCCTGAGCAGCAGGAGCCTTGGTAAGCAATCTGCATTGCTCATCACCAGTGAGGAAAGCATACAAAATCCAGAGCTGAGGCATGATGCATTGCTCTCTCTCTCTCTCTCTGTGTGTGTGTGTGTGTGTTCTTAGACTTTGTGTTGAAAATCCGTTGAGAGGAATCAAAGGTAGAGGCCAGAGGAGAAACAGATGATGGCAGCAGGGGCAAATTAGTTACAGTAGTTTTGATAAGAATAACAGAACTTTGAGTTGAGTCTAAAGCATTTGTGGGATGGGGAAGAGATGGAGGTATAAGGAAAAGAGAAGGCCAATTTTATAACAAGAATTATGACCCAAGCAACTTCAAACAGATGAAGAGAGGCGGAGAAGCTTAGCAAGGGGGTATGACTATGGTTCTGTTTGAGAAGCACAATGTTTGCAGATATCTTTTAGAGACCTAAGTGAAAATGTTGATAATTTGAATTGACAAGCTTGAAGTTCAGAAGCAAGGTCTGGTTGGAAATGTGAGAGTATAAGTCAGGTTTAACACAATGTAGATTACAAAGCTTATTACTTTAAAAACTTAGCTTATTACTTAAAATGTTATTGCTGAATCATGGCCACAACATTTAAAAATATATTATCTGTGGATACATTCCTTCTACAATGTCAGAGTAGCTGAAAGAGTAACCATATGTCCCTAAGAAGAGCCTCACGTAAGGCCCATATGAGCCTTCACAGACTTAGACAGCCCTTTTATGAGTTCACCAAGAGAATGGATGGAAAGAAGTTGAAAAGGGTCTGCAGAAAGGGAGGAAGTATTTAGAAAGAAGAGCGTACTAAAATAGGTGGATTGAGGAAATAAATGCTCTCCCCCCAAATAGAATCATATATTATGATTATTCTTATATATAACTAGAAGTAGACAGGGTGGGTATCCTGGGTGTCCTAGAGGTCAAAGGAGAAGAAAAGGCCAAAAAGACTAAGCAGGAGCTAAGTGGGAGGAGGAAGAGAGAATGTTGTTTTAGAAGCTATTAAAACAAAACTCAGTCAGGGAGGAGGAAGGTTCCACATCAACACTTCTGAGGACTGATGAGTGCCATTGAGCTTGACAGAGGATAATGATCATTTGTCTCCCAGATGAACTTGGCTTCTATGTTGCAGGAAGGGGCAGAAGGTGTGTTCTGGGTCCAAAAGAGGAAGAAGTGAGTAGTTAGAGACAGTACATCCTTATATATGTTTCTAAGCATGTTCTGATAAAAAATAGAACAGAAGAATCAGGTGTGATAACTCACATCTGTAATTCCAGCACTCAGGAGGACAAGTTAGGAAGATTGCCACAAATTCAAGGCTAGGCAAGGAGCTCAAAGTAAAAAGACAAGAAAAGAGAATAGAAAGAAACATAATTTATAAAGGGAGATAGTATTAAAAGAATCATCTATCTTGATTATTCTCATATATAACTGTAACTAGATGGGCTGGTTATTGTTTCTTCTCTCTTTTTTTTAATCAATTAAGCTAGTTCTTTGACAGTTTTATCATATCAACTCTTCTCCTTCCCACCTGTCCCTCCCTCAGATTTATGACTTTTGGTTTTGTTTTGTGACCCATTTAGTTTACTGGGAGATTATTATATTAGGTCTACCAACTTAGCCAAGTACATTCACCAGTGGGTGCAGATCTGATGGCAATGATTTACCCTTTCCCTGAATCTATCAGTAGGAAATAACTCACCAGTGAGGGGGTAGGAGCTCCTGAGTCCTTCCTCCATCCATGACTGTCTGGTGATGGCACCATTCTTAGGTAGACCCAGTGTGGTCATCTGAAAGTGTTGATAGTTTCTCATTGCATTGGTTGTGTATTGTCCAGAAGATTTAAAGTATGCAACATGATATATGGATATACCTGTCATCTACATGGTGGAAATAATTCCAAAGAAAGCAAAATGCTGATGATATAGAGAAGGTAACATTATTTCAATAGTCTTAATTAGGGGAGACAAGGAAAACACACACATGTAGGAGGTGGGTCTGGGGCACACGGATCTCTCTGTCGCATGGCAAGAAAGAGTTGCAGAGTTTGGACAGATCAGTGAAGGGTAGGTCTGGCTTGGGAGCCGGTGAAAATTCTCTCAGTGAATGAGGGAGTTGGAATTTCCACAGGATCATTGGACCACAAAAATGAATTACAGGACCCAAATATATTTCTAAGGGTATCTGTCTTTCTAGTAGAAGGGGAATTAATTGTCTTCAATGAAGAGATAGCGATTAAAAGATAATATCACTATTATAAATCATTGCTTTTTAATGTATTCTCTTTGGACAGCTTTACAAAAAGCTTGATGCTCATGTGGCCTTAGTTGGAATGGAAATTTGGACTGACAAAGATAAGATAAAGATAACCCCCAATGCCAACGTTACTTTGGATAACTTTTCTAAGTGGAGGAAGGATGATCTGCTCAAAAGAAAGCATCACGATATTGCTCAGCTAATCTCGTATGTACAGTTTCCTCTCACACTCTACATGGTATGTAGCATAGACAATATCAATGCCTCAGCAATGACAGTGGTATCTCTGGGCGTAGGTAAAAGACAAGAGTTTACACAAAGGGAATGAAGAGCTTTTTGTTTTATTTTTTTTAAATAAATGCCTCTTTGGGTCCTTGTTGAATATGTTTTTACTTTGGACATAAGTATTGTAGTTTTTATAAGTATAAGGCAATCATTCATTAGAATTCTGTATTTATTGGGTCTACACTAAAGAAGAACAAGTTCAGATAATGAAGAGGGATATAGACTCCATTTTTAGAAGAACTGGTTGACTTTACTCAAGAGAAACTTCTAGAATCAAAGTAAAATCGAGAATTATATTCAAACCCCATACCCACCCAATTCTGCTGAAATGACTATTTAAAAAATAACAAGTGAGGGGCAGGAGAGATGGCTCAGCAGTTAAGAACACTGACTACTCTTGCAGAGGACCGGGGTTTGATTTCCAGCACCCACATGGTGGCTAACAACCATCTGTAATTCCAGTTCTGGGGGAATCTGATGCCATCTTCTGACCTCCGCGGGCATTGCACAACATGGGTGCACTTACATGCAGGCAATACACTCATACACATAAAATAAAAAAATAATAAATAAAATATTAAAAAATAACATAAAATAAATCCAGTGACTGTAAATTGCTTTAAATTTGGGTATAAGTAATCGATAAACAGTTTCTGGGTAATTGAGAGTGGGAATCAGACTGGGAGACGCTGCGAGCATGGACCTGAAATGAGTAGAGGCTGCTTCCACAGAAATAGCAAATGTCATGGGAAATGAGTGGCCTATGTCCTGACAGAATTAATTAATATTTTGTACATACCATCTATTTTTCCATAACAAAATGTATGAGCCTAAATTAAGGCTTCTTATATATCTGACATCTAAGTTGGTGTGGCTGGAACAGGGGTCTCTGTTTCTCTATGTATGGCCTTTCATGGGGCCAACATAGATTTCTTCTCATATGGCCATTTTAGGGTACTTGGATTTCTTATAAAGTGTCTAGCTTCCCCCATAGTAAGCATTCCATGAAGCCCAGGAGAAACCACTAACACTCCTTGTGACCTAGTCTCAAAAGTCACACAGCACCACAGTGGGTTTGTGTTCTTGACAAAAGCCATACCATAGGATTGACCCAGGTTCAAAAGGAAGTTGCTAGTCAGCTGTGGACACTGCAAGGATGGCTCACTAGACAGCCTTGATTGGAGAGCAGCAGACACACCTCCTTAGTTTGAAAAGCTGAGTTCTAGATGCAGACATACCTCTGGACACAGCTTGTTTTTTATAGAGTTTAGTGAGGTCACAAGAGATGTCTTTTGTACCTAGCAAACATTGTGGAGTTAAACTCTTACCAGAGTGGCTCCAAAGCCAGGCAAATTGTTATCTACTTACATACTGTAGAGTAACAGAATATAAAGATAAAAGTCATACACAAGATGATAAATATGTAGATGAGAAATGGCAGTATGTTGAAAAAAATTTCTTGAAGAGATCAGAGTAAACAAGAACGATTAACATGGAGGGAATATTTGCCCTTTTGTTTATAAATTGGTAGTCTTATGATTTATCAGGCAAATTATCAAAAGATATCTATACATAGACATAATAGGTAAGAGTATGTTCTACTCACTGAGAAGCCAAAATAAATAACTCCACAATGGTAGAAGATATTACTTTTCTGAGTGTACCAGTAGTAAGACTTACTAGAATACAAATGTAGAATCAAGCACAACATTTATAAGTTTAAGTAGATTATCAATGTGGTCAATCTTTAAATATGCAAAATGTAAAAGCATAACTTCCAAATAACAAATGCCCAGAGCCACATTTAGTAAAAGTAAAAATGCGCAGAGAGTGAAATGTGAGGGAAAGTTGTATGGTTTTCCCATTTTTTCATGGACGAATCCACACACTTTTGATGTTCCTTAGTGGAAACACACAAGTTGAATTTTTCATGTAAATACATTGACTAGGGAAATTAAAAGAACTGATACTTTAAAATTTCCATAGACAGATGATGGTCCAAATCTTGCACAGGTACCAAAAGAACAAAAGAAAAGGGAAGCACACATCACCATTGCTAACTGGAAAAAAAGAAACTCCTAAAGCAAAAGCGAAATCACTAAGAATCAAACATCTGTGCAAACAGTGTAATCAGCGTAAACCTCTGTTCTGCAGGGTTGATATTTCAGTAGCAGAAATACTCAATAACATCAATAATTTCAAGTACCTTGCCCTAAACTAAAGAATAATCTGAAAGGAACATAAGAACAAGTCATTGCAACAAAATATGAGAGAACTACAAATTAAAGCAAAATATGTAATATAACATAACAAACTAAGTTATATAGACAGAAACACCTATAAGGGCAAAAAGAAAATAAAACATTCTTTTCGTAACAAGGGATAAATTAAAAATTAAGAGTGAAACAATCATGAATTGCATGTAAAACACTAAATGTTCTTACCTCTAAGTGCCTGAATTTCAAGTGATACGGAGGACGGTCTAGGAAAAAGCACCTTGGTGATTTCAAAACCCAAAGGCAACATTTAAATGATAGTTCACAATATAGATTTCTCCAGGACCCATTTAGAGTTCCACATGAGCCATCATTTTTTCTTTCTTTTTCCTTCCTTGTAGCTCAACAGACTTTTCTGGAGCAACTGTGGGTCTTGCTTTCATGTCTTCGATGTGTTCCCCTTATCATTCTGTTGGGATCATCCAGGTCTGTTTAAAAACAAATGCTAGTTCTATATCTTACCCTTGCTGAATTTCCCCACCCCATCTCTAGAGAAGATCACAATCATTTTGTCCTATAGTCCGCTGCTTAGCAAATACATTGATTGAATTGCAAATGTTGACCTAACCTTGAATTCCAGGATAAATCCAACTTACTCAAAAGATTGTCTTTAATTCAAAATGTTACTTTATCTTCAGTATCTTTGCATTAAGGCTCAAGAAAAACACTAGTCCCTAGTTCTATTTTCTTGTAATGTGATATTTTAAAGTTTTATTGTCAAGAAAATTTGGCCACATGCAGAGTTGGATTATGTTCCCAACTCTGAGTTTCTGTTTATTAGAGTAGACATTATCATTTTATTTCTACTAAAATGCTTAACACAACTAACCAGTAAAACTCGGAGGGACTGTAGTTTTCCTTTTGGAAAGAATTTTGAAGGAAAATATAATTTGTTAAATCAACTATTAAGACTTTTCAGATCATTGTTATTTGAGAAAGCCTTGGTAGTTTTGTCTTTAAGGAAGCATGTCCATTTGCTTAACTTGGCCCAGATTTATTGATGATATTGTTTATTATCTTTGTCATGCGGAACATATAAGCAGTGTCCCTCTTATTTAGGAAATTGATAATGTGCCTTTGCTTTTTTGTTGTGAGCGTCTCAGTTGGAGTTTATCAGTTTCAATGATCTTCAAAGAGATCACTGATGTTCTCTACCATTTTTCCTTTAAATTTCATTGATTTTTGGTCTTGCCTTAATTATTCTCTTTCTCCTACTTACGTTGCATTTAATTTCTTCTTCTTTTAATACAATGTCTCATTGCTTTAGCTATATCCAAACTACTATATTTATGTTGTGATTTTCCTCATTTTAAATGCTTAATAATTTTTTCTTTTGGTCTCTAATTCATATTATTTATAAGTGTGCCATTAAAATTTTCCATTATTACATTTTATGAACTTAAATGTACATTGTAGAATTATTTTTTTTTAATTTTGAGATTTATTTTTAGTTAATGCATCCATATAAACTGACCTGAAAGTGTTTTCTATGACTGTCAATTAATGTCAGGTTAATTTATAATGTTATTCAGATCCCTTCTGTCTCAATGAAAAAGGAATTTTGGAATGCCTAAATATAGTTATTGATTTGTTTATTTTATCCTTCGACTCTGTATGTTTTTGATTCATTGATTTTAAAACTCTGCTGTTCTATGTATACATAAGCATAGTCATTGTCTTCCTGAAGTATTAAATTTTTAATCATCTCACCATCCTCCAAAATGTTCACCCCTGAAATACTGATTACTCTGAAGTTTATTCTGTTTAATGCTGATACAGTTACTCCAACATTTTGTGCTTAATGTTTACATGAGAAATCCCTTTCCTTGTGTTTTTTTTAAAGATCTATTTTGTTTTTGTTTATGTGCATGCGTGCGTGGGTGTGTGTGTTGTGTGCACACACTTATATGTGGGTATATACAGAGGCCAGAAGACAGCATCAGATCCTCTGGAACTTGAGGTACAGAAGGTTGTGAACCACAATGTGGGCCCTGAGAGCAGAATTCAGGTCCTCTGCAAGAGCAGAGAGTGCTTCTAACCTCTACAGCATCTCTCCAGCCCCAGATTTTACTTTTTATTCTTTGGTCTTTTTGAGACAGGGTGTCCCTGTAGCCCCAGCTACTCACTATGTAGACTTTGAAAAAATCTGACACAAACTCTCTTAGCATACTATGATTATTTATACATAATAACATATTCTTGGGCTAACCATTTTCTAATCGATTTACTCTTTGGTTTGCTTTGGTTTTTACTGCCTTTAAGATTATTTTAATTATTAATTTTATTTATCCCAGTGGAGGAACTTGACGAAAGAATATCTTTAATTTTTCCCCTCTTCATTGTTCAGTTGTTACTGTATGTTTAACTTTATATGAACTGTAAATACATGATGTATCAGTACAGTTTTTTTCAGAGAGCAGTCTTTTATTGAGATATAAAATAAGTATTTAATGTTTCCTATCATTTTATGGGGTGCCTATCAATTTTTATTTCTCTGTAAAGACATACATCTCTGTGTGGTATCACTTTTAACCTTTCAGAAGAACATTTTTGTGTCAGTTTCTTTTAATATCATGAATTGTTTCAATTTGCTTATCTGAGAAAAACTCTGTTCATGCTAAATATATTTTGAGACTCTTTGGATTCCTATAATCCCAGATAACTGGTGAATTTAGTAAAATATTATAGTTAAAATTAAAAGTATTCTTTGATAAATTTCCTCCAGGATAAATAAAATTAATAATTAAAAAGTTATAATTATTTATCTGATTTATAATGCTTTTTAGGAGGGATGGACTTTCTAGAGCCTAGGTAGATATGGAGTCAATATACTTTTAGTGATTCTAAGTCTTGGTTTTTGACAGACTTCATGGGATGAGCAGTAATAGAATTTACATTCTCAACGTTTAAATAGACTGCCATAAGACTGGAAGTTATACTGGCTAGTTATATGCTGTTACAGACATTCAATACGAACAATGTGTGTGTGTGTGTGTGTGTGTGTGTGTGTGTGTGTGCCTGCATGAAAGAAAGAGAGATTAAATTGAACCAACAACAGGAAGAGTATTTAATGATGAGTACCTCCTGTGAGGTATAATTCCATTTGACATCAGAGATGCTATGTCCCCATTCTTTTTCTTAGGACCACAGTATTTATCATCTTAGAGTTGCAGGGACAATGGCCCATGAAATGGGCCACAACCTTGGAATGATTCATGACAACTTCAATTGCAAGTGTCCTACTGAAGTCTGTGTAATGGAGCAATCACTAAGGTGAGGCTTGCTGGGACATGCTGTGTGTCACTATTTTTTTTTTTAACATTCCCCTTGTTGGTACTGTCTTCTAGGTCACAGTTAACAACATGCTTAATACATTTTTTTTAGAATTAAAGGAATGATAATAACCAACAAAATTTGTACATCCTGAGCATTTGGCATCCAATCATAAGCAAAGGGAAAAGTTGCAGGGATAAAGGTTTTTTAGGAGAGCAAGCAGAAGCAAGGGTTGCCCCAAGAGTCCCAAGAGTGCAGTGGGCACCACATGACAGCATGACCCTGCAGCCACTGGCTTTGTTTCTGGGGTGACAAGTGCAGCTCACCAAGCCTCAGTGGGAGAGCAAGCAGAAGCAAGGGTTGCCCCAAGAGTGCAGTGGGCACCACGTGACAGCATGACCCTCCAGCCACTGGCTTTGTTTCTGGGGTGACAAGTGCAGCTCACCAAGCCTCAGTTCTGCACTTAGACCCAGTGGCCACAGCATAGTTGACATGCCTATATGAACTCCAGGTAGGCAGTAACAGGTAAACAGTTCATAAAATTAAATAGCATTGCCCACCGAATATTACTGCAAGTTTTTAAATTCAGTAATTTAATATTTGGATTACTTCCTGGTGAACCTGTGCTGTACCACCTTGCCCTTCATCTACATGTAAGATTTTAACTGTCATAGTGTAAACACTGACTCTTTGCTGTTTTGGCAGTTCATCATTTTAACCTCAGCTCATCTACAAGGGCCCTGGTTTCTGTTTTTTGTAAGATTTTTTTCCCCATGAACTCAGAAAGGATAGGGATAGGGAAAGGGGTTTTTAAGAGAAATCTGTTTAAGAAGGAACTTCTCACAGGAAAAAAATAAATGAAAAAGAGATGACAGTTCCCTGCCTCAGGCAAAATTTCCAGACAATCTTATCATGAAAGATTTCACAATCTCGTTCATATTCATTTCCCCTTTCACTCTTCTCACCCATCTTTCCCTCAAGCTAGGATTATTTTCTCATGCCCCTTCACAAAATGGGATCTGGCTTGTTTCCAGTAACTTAGCCTGTGTCATGTCTCCCAGAAATTATCGCATTTTTAAACCCCACCTTTATTTATGAGATGAAAAGAGGATCCGTTGATCTTTATCTATGGGAAAGTGAATTCTGAGATCTGTGTGTAATGTGATTCTGCTGCTAAAATGACCTAGGGCTGAATAAGATGATGTGGGCAAACTGAGAAGCACGTCTGTTTTACTGAAAGTGGTCTGGTGCTACACTTTGAGATATGAAAATATTTCCTCATTAAGCTGGAGATATTTATGTCCACTCAAGTGATTGAATTGGGACATGCAAAGGACCTTGTCATTTAGTAACTGGTCAGTCTGATCTTTGGGGTAAGTTGTAAGTATAATTTTATGCAGGGTCAGCCATTACTCTCCCAATCCAGGTACGATTGTGTTCCATTTTCTTTCTTTACCCACACAGATTCCATATGCCCACAGACTTCAGTTCCTGCAGCCGTGTCAACTATGCAAAGTTTCTTGAAGATAAATTATCCAGTTGCCTCTATGACATTCCATTGCCTATGGATATCATAACCCCCCCGATCTGTGGGAACCAGTTGGTAGAAATGGGAGAGGAGTGTGATTGCGGCACCCTTGAGGTACTTCCAAGCCCTTTCTGAAATGATTCGGTTCATTTATCAACTGCTACGAGAAAAAGTAAACAAAATTGTATGACCCACCATACAATTGAATGTTTCTTATGATTTGGCGTGCATTTATCCATAGTAGTTTGTCAGGCCAGTCTAATAAGGAGTATATGTAATTTAATAGACCTTGTTGGGTCCCTTCCCATCTTGTCTTGAGTTCCCCTCACCAATGTGACCTTTGTGTCTCTATCCATAGCATTCTGGCTGAAATTCTTCAAGTTGCTCTGACAACCACAAGTCACTAAGCACTGCTCTAGGTCTAACACTATGGCAGTACTTGGACAGTATGCATCCTTTCATGCCCAAGCTCACAGAGCAGGCCAGAGCACTTAGGATCTAGATCCAGGTCTATTGTTTCTGGACTCTAGCACTAACCTTCAGAATGGATTGCTAGATCCTGTATCCTGTACTAGTCAGGACTCAGAAGTTGTTGCCGTCATAAGCTCTGCCTTTCCTGCAAACATTCACAGGACAGTCAAGATCCTGAAGAGGGTCCTGGCTCCATTTTGTTAACACGTGACAATAGTGATGTGCGATTTCCTCAGGGGTCAACTTTGCAGTGACTTCAGAATAAGGTTAAAGATTTATTAACTCTATCAGTAAAGGTTATCTTGCCCCAATGATCCTTTTATTTGAATTAAGGAAAATAATTTGAACTCCAAAAACACACCAACTCTTAAAGCATCACTCTTCAACGGTAATCTTGACAAATACAATGTAAATTGCCAGAGGTACAAGTTTCTCCAGTTCTTGTGCAGAGGTTTCTGAAATCTCAGAAATAAACCAATGAGATCAAGAAAAGTTAGATTGTTTTCAGGGCTTTTGAGTCATCAGACATTGCAGCCTGATGTTGTCATCTACAAATGTGTTGGGCCATATTCATAGCTATTCAAAGCTAGAATGAGATGAAATGGCAGAGTTGGAAAAAATAAACTCTATGTTTAGCTTTTCAATATGTATTTTGAATATTGAATTCAGTACATATTTAGAATGCTGAACTGAATTGAAGATGGGGTCAATATATAATGAATGAGTTACATTAATTAAGTTGTAAAAAATATAGATGTATTTCATTTTTAAAAAAAACTATCCTTGATGGGAGTGGTGGCACACATCTTTAATCCCAGCACTCAGGAGGCAGAGGCAGGTGAATCTCTGTGAGTTCAAGGCCAGCCTGGTCTCCATAGCAAATCCAGGCTAGTTGGGGCTACAGGGAGACCCTGTCTCAAAAAGACCACACACACACACACACAAGTAACAAAAAAAAAAAAAAAAAAAACCTCAACAACTATCCTTGGGGCTAGAGAGATGACTCAGTAGTTAAGAGTACTGGATGCTATTACAAGAGACCTGGATTCAGTTCCCAGCACCCACATGGTAGCTAACAGCCATCCATAATTCTAGTTCCATGGAATCTGACTCCCTCTTCTCCCTCCATGACTCAGTAGTTAAGAGTACTGGATGCTATTACAAGAGACCTGGATTCAGTTCCCAGCACCCACATGGTAGCTAACAGCCATCCATAATTCTAGTTCCATGGAATCTGACTCCCTCTTCTCCCTCCTTGGGCACAGCACATACATGGTCCATGTATATACATACAGGCAAAACACTCGTATACATACAATAAAATTTCTTTTTCTTTTCTTTTCCCTTACATCTTACTAAAAAATTAGATCTTCCTAATGTTGATATGAAGAGCAAGGGAAAAGATATTTAAATTTAAAAAGTAGAAAGTAGCAAGGTGTGGTGACACACACCTTTAATCCCAGCACTTGGGAGGCAGAGGCAGGTGGATCGCTATGAGATCATGGCCAGCCTGGTCTACATAGTGAATTCTAGGCCACCAGGCCAGCTGGGGCTACAGGGAGACCATGTCTCAAAAACAACAACAACAAAAAATAGAAAGTATATTTTACTTAAAAATATGTAAGGAGGGGCTGGAGAGATGGCTCAGTGGTTAAGAACACTGGCTGTTCTTGCAGAAGGCCCGGGTTTGAATCCCAGCACCCACATGGCAGCTAACAACTGTCTGTAACTCCAGTTCCAGGGGATCCGACAGCCTCTTCTGTCCTCCCAAGGCATTGCATGACACGGGTACACTTACCTATATGCAGGCATAACACTCATACACATAAAATAAAAATAATAAATAAAATATATTTTAAAAATATGTAAGTAGAAGTCAGATAAGTTCAAGTCACTGGTTGTTCAATCTCTAATTTTTCTTTAATCTTTATTTTACTGAAGACAATGTTTACATTCTGTCTAGTAATGTCTGCATGGCAAATAAATTATATTATGAATTATACTGAAATAATTTATCATTGGCATTTGTGTCTGACATTCTTTAGGAATGTACCAACTTCTGCTGTGATGCTAAAACTTGTAAAATCAGAAGCGGTTTCCAATGTGCGTTTGGAGAATGCTGTGAAAAATGCCAAGTAGGTAGCAACCCCCCCCCGAAAATAAAGAAAGAGTACACAAAATTGTCAGAAAAAAGTGATGGGGAGATATGGGAAGAGCTGGAAGGGAAGGAGTGGGCATGGATTTGATCAAAACACATTATATGCATGTATGAAATCTTCAATAAATTTTTTAAAGTTAAAAAAAGATTTTGTTCCATTTTAGTCATTATGATTAGTTTTTCCATATTAATATGTCAGTGATAATGTCAAATGAAACAGGTGGAGCAATGTTTTTCTTCTTAGAAAATAGTGACAGCATTCATCAAGTGCTCAGTGAATACTTTGAGGACTTTGCATATATCTCCCACCATTATTGTCTCCTAACAATAATGCAAAGATGTTATTATCTCATTGTGCTTTTGAGTGAAGGGAGACCTAAAGCAGGAAATGTGAAAAATAGTGCTTGTACTATTTGTGACAACCATGATGCTCTTGGAAGAATACTGTGTCAAGTGAAATAAACCAGATACAAAGTGGTGCCACTTGAATCACATAGCCAGTCCTGCAGTCAACTTTTCTGAGTTCTACACACATTGTATTTGTCTCTTTGTGTCTGGCTTCTTTCACTTGACACAGTGTCCTGTTTAAATAGGACATTATAAAACCAGGTGTGGGAATGCACAGCTGTAATCCCAGCCCTCAGGAAGTGAAGGCAGAAAGATCAGAAATTCAGCATCACCCTTAGCTACATTGTGAATTCAAGGCCAGCCTGGAATACATGAGATCTTTTTGTTTTGTTTTGTTTTTTTAAAGTTGACTATATAGACTTAAAGTTGTCAGGAGTAAGGCAGTGGGGAAATAAGAGGACATTGATTACGGGGCATAAACTTGCAGTCATATAGGAAACAGATAGAGATCCAGTATGAAGTACCTTGTCTCTGTGCAGCAATACTAGATACTATAGGTGGAAATTTGCTGAGAGGGGATTTCAGAATGTTCTTTCTATAAACCTTGGTACACATACACAAAGGTAACTCTGAGATGGATGTTAATTTGCTTGATCATACTAATCATTTTCCTATGAATATATATGCTGCAAAATGTCATGTTATCTCGATAGATAAGGTGTATTTATCGATATGCCTTAAATATAAATAGTACAATTTTTGAGAAGAAAAAATTATGGGGTCACTTTTAACTGGGTGAACCAACAGGAGCAAACTTAACCTGACCAAGGCCCTTGGTAGTTCTCCCAGATGCTCTATACTGCAGGGCTTCCTTGCATCGTGTCTCAGAAACTGGTCCATCTGCCTTTAGTGACGGATCTGGTAGGAAAGTATTTTGACTTGAGTTAGGCTTCTTCTATCTTCAGTCTTTGGAGATACTTCAAAGTGAAATTCATAGAAAAAATACATGTCATTATTTTTCCTGTGGGATATTTCTTTAATGTAGAATTAAGTATTTTACTTTCAGTTGTTACACATAATTTTAAAAAATTGTGATTATTCATCTGTGTTTGTCCTCTTGGTAAAATTGATGCCTAAGGACAGAGGACACATTTCCTTCCACCAATGGCAGATTTCCATGTCTTAAATGTTCAGTAACTATTTGCAGTTGATACTAATTCATAGATAATATTAATGTAGTTTTGATATTAGAAAAAGAAAAATGGAAAAAAGAGGTAAGAAATAATCAACTTCACGAATTTAAGTAGCTTTCAACAAGTGTTTATTAGGTGCTATTTGTTAGAGATTCACTGTAGAAGCAGCTCTCATCCCAAAGAACTTGCTATTTTTTTCCTTTAGGGCAGTCATACACATAGGAGTTAGATGAAAATATAATGCATGATCAGATGTCCATATTATTGATATGATACAGAATACTTTCCGATTCTATTTCACCCAATTTTCACGATAACCTTTAATGGAGATCCTAGCTGAAGTGAATTTTCATTGAAGTTAAATCAACTTTCTTAGATTAAGCATCTAGAAACAGACAGAACCAAGATTCCAAACCACATTATTTAAACCTAAATTCAAAGTCTCTCCATCAGTTCTGGGAAGAAACAGGGCCAGGGATCTGCACAGGAGAGATGAGAGGCCCTTCTCCTGAATGGAGACTCTGTTCACCTGGAAACAGAATGAAACTAATTTCAGGTTTAGAATTAAACCAAGAAAGAAAGGATGTGTAAATGATAACAGAGAGAGAGCAAGGAGGCTGCCCAGCATGGCGCATGCTGCAGCCTGTAAGAGTCAGCCTGGCTGCCGCATGGGTTGGGGGGTGCGTTTAGTGATTGGGTGGCTCCAGGTGCAGTTTGAGCTTGATCCTGTAACTACTATGAGGATGGTGGAAGCTGTTTGATGCAATGAAACATCAGTGCCCACTCACACAGCTAACGAAAAATGAGATTCCTCAGATCCACTTGAAGGGAAGTTTGTTTCATTAAGGTTTCTCTGAGGAATAAGAACAAGATTTGCAGTAATACATTGCAACAGAGTTAATAGAGCCGGTGAGTACTTGGTTATTTTTCCTCTTCCTGATGAAACATTCCATAACAAGAGTTGACAAGAAATACCTGACCCTATAATGAAAGGAATTAAGGAAACTTAATGCCTGGGAAAGTCTCAGGGTGTGCTGAACTGGTGCTTGTAAAACTATCTTACTTCATACAAGTAAATCCTGAGGTTGCAGATTTAAGTGGCGCAAATCTCCACAGATGCATTCAATGTGGGGAGAAATAACACCCTTCTCTGCATCTGTGATGTCTGGTTTTCCTTTTTACTACCTTATATTTCTTTGCTGTTTAATACTACAAAATCAAAAAGACTCAGAGTATTGGTCAAAATCAAAGGAAGTGATCTGACAAGACAGGTTTTAATGGCTACAAGGCAAAAATAAACTACAGTAAAATTACGTCAGCTACCGTATACCAGAAGGACAAACGGAAAAGAGGATTGGTGTTCACTTGAAGTATTGGGACAAAGGAAATGACACAACTACTTTTGTTTCCTTGCAGTTTAAACAGGCTGGGGTGGTGTGCAGAGCAGCAAAAGATGAGTGTGACCTGCTTGAGATGTGTGATGGTCAATCTAGCCACTGCCCAGAAGACAGATTCAGAGTCAATGGCTTCCCTTGCAAAAGTGGCCATGGCTACTGCTTGATGGGTTCCTGTCCTACCCTGAAGGAGCAATGCACCCAGTTGTGGGGCCCAGGTAGGAAGCTGTATTTATAAGTTACTTTTCTTGTTTCTGTGACAAAATGCCTGACAAGAACAAGTTAGGGAACGAAGGGGTCATTTTGGCTCACAGTTCCAGCAGAAGTCTTCCATGGTGGAAGTCATGGTGACAAGAACTTGAGGCAGTTGGCCACATTGTATCGAAGTCAGCAGGCAGAGGGAGACCAGTTTCTGTGCTCAGCTCACTTTCTCCTTCAGTTAGGACCATAACACGTGGGATGGAGCCACCCACACACAGGGTGGCTACCCTGTTGGTTGAGCTTTTCTGGAAACATCCCCATAGAGACACCCATTCCCTGGTGATTCAAACTCCCATCAAGTTGACAAAGAAAACTAATATCATAGGAGAAAATTCCTCTCCTTGTCCACATGCAAAGAAGAATCATTCCACTGAAGGCATTTGATCCTGACCAAAGGATCGATATGTTCCATTCTTCTGAGAAACAGGGTCACTTCTCAAAACTATGAATGAGTGCATTTTAAGACTCAAAAATGTCCTAGTTAAATTTTACTTTCAGATTAACAATTTTTATCCTACCTATTCATCCATATAGGTTTTGAGATATGCTTTCAAAAGTCTCTGTTTATCTAAAATTCAAATATATTCTATATTTTTACCTCTCAGCTTTAATTAAGATCATTCTAAGACAAACCTCTAGGAGTCTGTGTGTGTGGCTTGGGTGACAGTACTGTTGGGGGATGGGACATGAGTTAAAAACAGGGAGCCAAGAAAAGGAGGAGGCTGCAAATGTGGAGAACAGTGAGGAAACAAGAGATCTGCTCAGTGGTCACTTTGACCCACTGGTAGCTTAGTGATCATGCTCTGGGAAACCATAATGAAGACTTTAAAAATTCCTACAAACCAGAAATCCTAGTGCTGAAATATGACTAAGACATAGCATGGACTTCATGACGACAAAGAGAGGCAAAAGCGAGTAACACTAAAGTCCTCCTAACTCCCTAGTTCTTTAACAAATCTGAATGAACATAAGTTAGTCTACATGTGTGACCTGGCAACAATCTGTCACAGGTCTTAATGCTCAGTGTCAATAAAGATGGGACAAGACACCAGACTCCAAGTTGGTGAAAACATAAATTTGTACAATGTTTATAGAGAGGAAAGGTTTGGGAAACATATACACAGCCTAAGACACGGTTCCCTTCTCCTTTGCTCTGAAAGTCGTACCTACAAACAGTAATGAGAATTTCTCTCCCAACACTGTTTTTATTGTAGTGAATA